TTATGTTTGCAAACCAGTAACAGGATCAAAGACTTGATCAGCGAAGATATTAAACATCAAACCTAATGCAACTGTTCATTGTGCAAATTGCACTGCAGTTAAAGAACTGCCTTTAAATACAGAGTAACTTGCAAATGTTTATTGGAAGGATTAGTTCGACACCTGTATCGTGCTTTCTCCCTGCGCTTGTTTTAAATTCGTTACACTACTGTGAAACACGGGATTGCTGTGAAGTTCATACCTGTTATAATGTAAGCCTAAAATGTTCATTATGAATTTTCCACCTTTTTTATTTAAGGTACTGTAAGATCAAGTGTCAAAACCTCTTTGAAAACTACAAAGTCTGTAGCAGGAGTTGCACAGTCACAACTCACCTTCATTAAACCAGTACAAACAGGTATGTATTTAAAGACCTTAATTTTTTTAATCAAGTCTCAAATTTTTGTTGTGGGATGGAAGGCAAACTTCTGAATTTTTACACAAGGAAGTTACTTTTACCTTTTTTTAAATAGCAATACCAAGACACCCATTACCATTTGCTGCCAAAAACATGTTCTATGATGAGCGATGGATTGAAAAGCAAGAGCGAGGTTTCACATGGTGGATTAATTACGTTCTCACACCTGATGATTTCAAAGTCAACACTGAAGTCTCAAAAGGTACGTTTTACATGATAATTTGCTGTGAGGAATGGAATGTTGTTTTCTGTATTGTAACTTCAGGTTAGGTTTTTCATATCTGTTAATTTGAGGTAAATGTACTGAGCTTGTATGTAAACTCAAAACTATCCATATGACTTCTATTTTTTTCAGTTGTACTAGTCTATTAATATGTAAGTCTTTTATGATAAGATTACTTTTGCATACAAAAGTAAATAACGTTTTTGTTTTCCAGTCAGTGCCATGTCCTTAGTGATGGGAGTTGAGAATCAACACAAAGTCAGTGTCCCCAAAGCACCAACTAAAGAGGAGATGTCTTTCAAAGCATATACTGCCCGCTGTAGGCTAAATCGCCTTCGTCGTGCTGCTTGTTGTCTTTTTACATCCGAGTCAATGGTCAAGGCCATCCAGCGGCTAGAGCTCGAGATTGAAGCTAAGAGGCTTCTGGTACGGAAGGACCGGCATCTCTGGAAGGACATAGGTAGGTTTATGTGATTAACTTCTGTTTTTTCAATCACTTATTTTCTTATGTTAATGTCTTTCTCATCATAACGGGGGAAAAAAGTTTTGCATGGACTCTTCTGTGAAATTACAGGAGATGTGAGCTGCTAAGTCTTATCATTCCACCTTTTTGTGTGTATAAACCAAAGAAAATAAGTTCATCAGCTACCTTTGACTCGGATATAATAATTCCTTATGCTTATATAGTGCTTTTCTAGATACTCCACTTAAAGCACTTTACAGGTAATGGGACCCCCCTCCACCACCACCAATGTGCAGCCCCACGTAGATGGTGCTCTCAGTGGGTAGAAGAACAGAGTGATTTAGCCAGTTCATAGATGGGGACTATTAAGTGGGCATGACTGGTAAAGGCCAATAGGGCAATTGGGCCAGGATGCCAGGGTGGCACCCCTACTCTTTTCGAGAAACATTCTGGGATTTTTAATGACCACAGAGAGTTGGGACCTTGGTTTTCCATCTTGTCCGAAGGACAGTACCTTTTTTCAGTATAGTGTCCCTGTCACTATACCGGGGCATTAGGACCCTCACAAACAGCAGGGTCAGCACTTCTACTGGCCCCACTAACGCCTCTTCCAGCAGAAACCTTAGTTCTTCTCAGGAGGTGCTGACCAGGCCTGCTTAGCTTCAGTGGGTTGTCAGATGTGAGTTGCGAAGTGATATGGCTGCTGGCAATATATGTGCAAATGTCTCCTTTAGCGTTGAAATTTGACAACGTGAATAAGTATTCATACTCAGAAGTCAGTGCTGCTCCTGATTTGTGCCGTTACCTGAAAAGTTATCTGCGTTTGTGTTTGTATGCTTCCTGACACCCTTGTGGTCATTTTTAAAGGGGAACGCCAGAAGGTTCTGAATTGGTTGCTGTCCTACAATCCTCTTTGGCTGCGAATAGGACTTGAGGTATTGTACATCTTGAGTTTTTGTTTTTCAATTCATATAAAGAATCTCTTGTCACCTGCAAGGCATGTTCCTGAAAACTCTTGTGTGTAGGTAAAGATGCAGCTGGTAAACAATGGACCTAAGGGGAAAAAATAGAGTTAGGGGAACTGAAGTCACGACTTTGAATAAAAACATTTTCTCATATAAGAAAGTAAAGAAAAACACAGTATTCTGGATAGTTTTTAAATACATTTCTGGCATAATTCTTACCTTATGCTTGTTTCCCAAACTGCATATGGCATGTACAAGACATTAAGTGACAATGCTGTTTTACTACTTAAGATCTCTCTGAAGATTCCCTCACTTTTTTATTGTATGAATGACAGATTGATTTACGCCAAACAACCAATCATCAGGAGTATTACTTGGCTCTTCACACAATTCATCAATCTTTTTTTGTTAATCTTCACAGATCTAGATCAGTTAGCATTACTGGACATTTGAATGTATTATTTAACTATTGATTATTATTTCTGATATTGACAATTGCATTGGGCTTTGATGGTTTTGGATATGATTGTACACTAATATGCACTGAACACTTTAAGAATGAGAGAAATTGCAGACATCTACTGGCAATGGTGGCTGACTGAGAAAGAATGATATTGGGCTGCATGGTTGCTCGCTCTTTCTTGAAAACTCTTTTGAGTCAACATGCATCACAATACATGGATGGTTCTGGAACATGTGGATACTCAACATTAGTAAAATTTTGCATGGATATTCAACACCATGCAACTGTAAATTCACATATCATGGGATTACTGCCTTTACATTTTTTTTGGCTGTGCTTTATGTTTGAGAATAGTCATGCTGCATATCGATCTCATCCTCTAAGTCTTTTGTTTGTTTTAGGTCATTTATGGGGAGCTTATTTCTTTAGAGAGCAACAGTGATGTCATGGGTATGGCGATGTTTATTCTTAATCGCTTGCTTTGGAACCCTGATATTGCTGCGGAATATAGACACCCCAAAGTACCTCATCTATATCGAGATGGTAAGACACCTGGCTCATCATGTCCTTTTTTTTTGTTATTATAGTGGTGTTGTGGTCTTCATTAAGTGGAATTTTTGTTTTTGTTTGTTTTCTCTCTCTCGGGTAGGTCATGAGGAAGCTCTGTCTCGTTTCACCTTGAAGAAGCTTCTTCTGTTGGTGTGTTTCCTTGACAAAGCAAAAGAGTCCAGGATAATTGAACACGATCCTTGTTTGTTTTGCATGGATGCAGAATTTAAGGTTGGTTTTCTATTTTATTTGTGAAGGGTTTCAGACCAAGTCAGTATAGGAGGTTTCTTGTAATATTATGTACAAATGTGTATGTGCACAAATAATTTTGTATTTTAGGGTAATTATAATGCTTTTTTAGAATGTTGTAGTCCTTCACGGATCATTTTGTATTTGATAAAATTCTCTGAACTTTTCCTTGGCTGAGGGATAGACATTTTATAATTATTTATTGCTCTTTGATATTTTCATAGTCAAGCAAAGACCTCCTACTGGCATTTTCAAGGGATTTTCTAAGTGGAGAAGGAATTCTTTCTCGCCATCTTGGATTCTTGGGCTTACCTGTCTCTCATGTCCAAACTCCACTGGATGAGTTCAGCTTTGCTGTGAAAAAACTGTCTGTTGACCTAAGATGTGGAATCCGCTTGGTGTAAGTTACAATAATCTGCTTTTTTGTTTTCTTTTTTTAAGTGCATAGTTCTGCAAAAAGGTGGTGTTTTCTTTAGAATGCACTTTTTTTTCTTTTAACCTTTTAATACTCTTTTCATAGTATTGGAAACAAGTCAAGGAAAATAAGATACTGTTGTTTAATAGTTTATTTCTGAAGTAAGCCGTGATTTATTTCCTAAAATGAGAACATAAAGTTTTTCATTGCACACAGAAATGTAGCATTCACAGGTGGTCCATATGAGGAAATATTTAGCATAAGTACTATTAAAGAATTTACCGAAGAAAACTCTGCTTTTAAAGGGAAGTTGCATTTTTTGTGCAAAGAAACTATTTGTAAAGGAAATTCCGAAGCCTTTCCTTTTTTACTGATATTTTTTTTTTGGCCCTAGGCGAGTTATGGAGCTTTTTACACAGGACTGGAGCCTGTCACGTAAGCTCAGGGTGCCTGCCATCAGTCGCCTTCAGAAGATACACAATGTTGATGTTGCACTTCAGGTCCTCAAAGCAAGAGGAGTTGATCTAAATGACGAACATGGTGAGTTTGT